ATATCCATATTTATATTTGTTTTATTAAAAACAAGCTTAGATTTGTCCACCTGTCAGGTTTTAGACGATATGGGGCATAGCAGATGTATTTGGAAATAATAGTATTTTGACCACACTTCCTTAATATTGTTCATTTATTCGTTTGCTGGAAATTAGAACTGAATTTAGAAATAGTTTTGAAACAAATCTTTGCGCTTAACAAACAAAATTATTTATAGGCTAACTGATGTCTGTGCGTGAAGGTTTCCCTATCGACGAGAGCAAAAGCGAAAGTAAACTTACTTTATGTCCTGTAAATAGCAAATGCGCTTATGACGCGGGAGAATGGGAGATGAGACTCTGATTAGTTTATTCTCAAAACAAACCTATAACTCATTAGGAATAAACTCAACCCTTTTAGACCATGCCCCATGGCACAAAGCGGATATTCCCGTCCTTAAATTTGCAAATATGGATTCTGACACGCCCTGAAAGCGTTTGCGCCCTGCGCTTTGAGTTTTGCGCATGGACCGTCAAAATAGAGCCCATTATATGCAGAACCATAGACCTTTATCTATAAATAAATTATAATTATGCAATCTGTGTTCATCATAACTAAAAGCCATGTTGTATTTGCTGGCCTCACGCATAACACACCTGTCAGTCAGACAGTCAGTCAGTATGTAACCTCATAGGGTTAAACAAATTACACAGCACTAAATGGTTAAGAAAAGTTTGCGCTGTTATAATTCAATTACCTATTAATACATGTTGGTGCAATTATAAACCGTTATTAAAACCATCTACAACAATGACTAAATGTTTTGAATGAGAAGCTGGAATGTAGCCGTGGCATTTTGGTGTGGCACCCCGCCATGTAATAAAAAAATGTAGCGGAAACCATACTCTTTAAAAGTTCTCTGTAGATGCCTTGACAACACAAACACTGCTGCTCTGGGATGTGCACGTGCAAAACACTTGCGGCCGTTAGTAATCCATTCAAATGATGCCCCTCTTAACGAAAACAAAGCGTATTTGATCGGCCTCTTATGCAGTCAAAATAAAAATATATAAAATAATAATTTTTAATCATTTAACTGATACCATTAATCGGTTAAATTGGTCTCATTCGCACACTGAGACAAGCAGAGGAGCGCAGACATATAAAAGTCATCTTAACACGAGCGCTTTAATGGTCAAATAGGTTTAAAAACGCGGTGTTTAGTGATTATTCATATTAACCCTCATTTGTGTAATAAACAAACGAGTTGAGGATCAAAAGACACGTGAAAGAGAAACCCTTAAAGTGCCCGCGCGAAATATTCCTGCTGCCGCCTGTTTTTATCATTAATCAAACAAAACGAGAAAATCCCTCTCTGCTCTTGACTGAAGGATTTTTGTAGCTAAAGTGTTTTTCTTACAGTGAAGATGCTTAAAGCACAGTTTATTTCATATTTTTATTCTGTTGTATTTATTTATCTTTCCTTTACAGAGTGGAAAATAACTATGTATACAGTTGAAGTCAGAATTATTAGCCCTCCTGAATATTAGCAACCCTTTTCCTGCCCAATTTCTGTTTAATGGAAAGTTTTTTTTTTACTTATTTCTGAACATAATAGTTTTGATATCTCGCTTCTAATTACTGATTTATTTTATCTTTGCTATGATGACGGTACATAATATTTTTCAAGATTTTTTTCAAAATACAAGCTTTCAGATTAAAGTGCAATTCAAAGGCTTAATTAGAGTAAATAGGCAAGTCATTGTATAACAGTAGTTTCTTCTGCAGACAATCAAAAAATATATTGCTTAAGGGGGCTAATAATATTGACCTTAAAATGGGTTTCAAAATATTTAAACCTGCTTTTATTCTAGCTTAAAAAAATAATAAGTCTAGAAGAAAAATATTATAGGAAATACTGTTGAAATTCCTTGCTCTGTTAAACATCATTTGGGAAATATTTATTTTTAAAAAATTCCCAGGAGCGCTAATAATTTTGACTTCAATTGATAATCGTTTTAAATAATCGTGATTACAATTATGACCAAAATAATCGTGATTATGATTTTTCCCCAAAATCGAGCAGCCCTACTGTATGCACTTCAAAGCGGAGATCATGTTTTATCAAAGACTGGTGGTCTTGGTTTTATTTTAATGAGTAATCATAATATAGACAAAACTTCAGATAAACTATCTGCCTTCCACAAACAAGTGCTCATCATGGTCATTAATCTAAGCATGATTTCTCCCCACGTCGTTGTTTATTTTGGAATAGTGGACAATTCATACAAAAAAAAGAAATCTCTTTTTTTTTAAATTGGTCTGACAACAAAATTATTTGTTTAGTCAGTTATATCATTTCATGGTGTACTTTTCTTATAAAGAAGTCATTTCTCATTACAAAATCTCAATAACCCAGCAAGTTTTGAACTGTTATTGCTTCAATTCCTTCAGAGACATGTTAGTCATTCAAGTTATTTAGAGGTATTAAAAAGACCATCCTTGTGATGCATCGTCTTTTGATATTACTAAATCTTATGTTGGCAAATTCTGTTTTACAGTAAATACCAAGAGTAATGATAGAGCTATTCATACTCTTTTCCAAAAAAGAAATAATTACTATACCTTATATCTAATTTTATTGGATGTCTTTATTAAAGGGTAAATTGAAGAAAAGTGTGGCTGTTACCACAGAAATACCATGTTAGAAATGAAAAATTTACATTTTTGCAAAAAATATTTTGCTGGATAAAACCTGTGGATAAGTTTATACAGTATTTCTTTAAAGTGAGAATGATGTAAATATGAGGAGATGGTTTTAAACTTATTTTGGCATTGTACATAGTCAGCTTATGGGGGGATAATCCTAATCAGGGGGAAATAGTTTAATTTGCTTATGTTGGTAACAAAATTGTTCATTCATAAATGTAAATTTATTAATAAGAAACTAAATTTTAAGGTATTGATGACTGAAATATGCTTGTATAATACCAGTATCATCTCTCTAAACAAGAAAGCATGACCCACTTTAAAAATGTGTGAACTCTACAATGTATTTAATTATTACATTTTGTATATTTGTATTTAATTTACAATTACACCTTGGCATGTATTTTTTTTTTTTTGTATTGTAAAATGTTATTTGCTGTTCTTCAAATAAATAATGTTTTTTTTTTTTTCACGAGTAGGAGCTAACGTATGTTTTTTAAGACTTGAGAAAACCTTACGAGCATTAAACAACGTGTAATTTATGGGGCTCCCGCATTGACCACTAGAAACTTGCCTTTACAACTACCTTGCCGTTCACTAAATCTGACTCTGAATAAAAAGGAAGGGGGCACACTTTACAGACGAGACTACCGACATAAAACTAATCCTGCTGGATGTTAAATAGCCTAGTTAATATTGCTTATGAATGGCTTGAATGAGCAGATCTTATGCTGTTGGCTGTGCACCTTACTGTAACCTAACATTGCAAACGCTTGGTGTAAGACACGTTTTCTGCACAAATTCTGCAAATCGCTGTCCTGTTTTAAGTGCTGTTTTATTTGGACTACGTCAGTTTTATACATTCACCGAACAACGTCTTGCAGTCCAAATTATGGCAAAGTTTACAAAGAGAAAGTAATCCGCTGTCCTGAGGCTGTCATGTTTCTGCGACTCCTAGCAAAACAGGAAATAGAAATACATTGCTTCAAAGGGAACTTCCGTTGTTCAATTCCGCTGTGATAAAGGTCTATATATTTCGTTTTAGGATGAAGTGGTGGTGGAGTGTGGCAAGGCGCCGGATGCCTCCATGGTAGCAAGGGGTGCTCCTTGTGCAAGTAACCAATTTTCAGGTGCTGCACAATATTATAGCATCTAAAAAAATTCTTGATTACAATGCAATAAGTATGGTTCCTAGCCATATCAGCCCAGAAAGTAGAAATGTTTAATTTTCCATTAGTCTAAGTACACTATGTGACTAAAGTATTTACTCTGTTATGGAAAATATTTTCAAAATAGTTATGTGTGAAGTATGTTTGTGAATCTGTGGCTGTTAAGACCGACAATTCAAAAGTAGCTTAAAAAAACAACGATTTTATTTGCACCAATGGTAAACCTGCCCCAGACTATGATACAAGAGATTTTCATCTCTGTACAGACAATGCTTTGGTGCTACTATTTTCTGCTTAAAGGCCAATTCATTGGGTGTCAAAAAACAAAGAACAACTTTGAAACTAAGCTCTGGCTCTAAACCAGCAGTCCAAGAAAAAGAGTATTTTTTGTTAATAGAAAAGCAAAGTGCATCTTGAATATGTGTGCTGCTTTTTCAAAAAAAAATGTGCCCATAGTTTAAACATTTTAAAGAGATTATTATGCATCATAAAAAATCATATTTTGGTTTTATGGTGAAAAGGCAGATATGCATGCAATGTCAAAAACACATTTGTCTTATAAAATGTATTTGATTCAACCTAATCATTCCAATGACTCCTTTTAGATATTTTTTAGCAATTAATTTGTGTGATGCTAATTTGTACTGATTGATACAATAAGTCAGTCAACTGCATTCAGAGTAAGATGGAAAAGAAAACGCCCACCACGGCTTATCAACAGTGACTTGTACAGAGTGTATGTGTGGGCCCAATCCAAGAATGCAATAAACACCACACTTAAATACCAGCATATTGCTGTTATTAATTGAGGTTATGGTTAAAAATAACACACATTCAGTATTAAATCGACACAGTGGCAAAAGTTAACGTATTTTGAAAATTGACCTCATATTTGAAATTGCTTCATGTCAATGTCAATATGAACAGGCAAAAGCTTCGAACTAAAGACCATTCATATATTCAACTATTTTTTTTTTTTTGACTATCAATAGTTAACACGGTGCACTTTCAGATTTAAACCTCTGCTGGATGTTTTCATTCACTAAGAGTGGTTAAATACTGCATGCAAGAAAATTTTCAAAAACCCATAATAGGGCCTCATAAATGATTATTTCCTCAGTACACATTCGATAGGGGCCTACCTGAAGAAAGGGTTGACTGTGGGATACAGCTGCGGGGCCCTGTGCAATAGCAATAACAGGCACATGGAAGTGATTGTTGGAAAGAGCTGCTGCCGCACTGACCACACTGAATGCCTCCGAGAGAGAGTCCCAAGATTTCTTACTGAAGATAGAATTCACCAGTTGAATCACCTGTTCCTGTGACAGACAAGTAAAGCATGCAAATTAATCTCACGATAGTGTTTGAACAAAGACCACCAAGTCTACTTCATCAGTAGCGAAATGTTCTACAAAGTTCTATATTTGTTTTAGAAGTGCTGAATAACGAACCTCTTTCAAGGGAGGTTCAACATCCACATGATCAGACAGGGCGTATGCAGCGGTAACAAACAGTGCTGTGGCCTCCAGGCCATCTTCAAACTGAAGATACACTCCACCTAGATCATCTAAACGGGCAGCCAGGTCCTATAATAAAGAATAAAAAAAGAAAAATCATACAATAATAATAATAATAATAATATAGCTGCAAGCAGCAATTACCAGGGTTCAAGCATTTTAGCAGCGTAAGGTTAATCAGCAGTTAGGAAGCCTGTAAGTAATTTATAATAGTTTGTAATATTTATGACAATGAAATATATGATTAGAGTGTCAAGAGTTTTTAGATTGAGCTAACAAATGTTTGATTACACACTCCAAAAAAGCACTCCAAAAGAATATTACTACAGAGTAAAAAGTTTGACAAGCTTTGACTAAATTTAATCTTAAATGCATTTACTGTGTTTATGCAAAGTCAATTTGGGATTCAGGAAGCATTACATTAGCATTCATAACATTCTTTACTACAGAGCAGTAAAATAAACTATAAGTGGTCTGTTACTGCCATCTAGTGGCCAGAGTTGTGAATATTTTACAGAGCCTATGTTATGGGTTTTAGAAAATGCCCTTCCATGTAGTGTGTAACACAGCTCTAAGTGAAGTGAAATATCCAGCTAAGGCTTAAATCTGTAAATGTACAGTGTTTAAAACTGTTGAATCATCTATAAAAGAGTCGACTCATAGTGCTTCAAACGATACCATTCATGCGTACGCGCAAACCCGGAAGATTTGAAACCTGTGGTCCCGCTCTCTAACACAGAACCCACACACACACACGCACGCACACGCACGCACACAAACATGCAAACACACACACACACGCAAACACACACACACACACACACACACACACACACACACACACACACACACACACACACACACACACAAACAAACAAACAAACATGCCAGTCGATTGAAGTTACACTGCAGATGGATATTATTAATGGTGTGTGTGTGCGCTGTCGTCTGGAGGAGGGTTAAGGCTGATTTATACTTCTGCGTCAAATGCCGGCGTATGCTACGGGGCTGACGCATAGCCCTTCGTCGTGGCCGTCGGAGTCGCTGACGTGCACTTCTCAAAAATGTGTAACTACACGTCGCTACGACGCTTAGCGCAAGCTCTGTGATTGGTCGGCTTGGTAGCGCTGACGAGTCTGGGCGGGACCGAGAGCCGCGTGAATGGTGCGAGCCTGATGGAGCGATTGTTTACAAGTGTGTAGTCCCGTGAAGTTGCTCTGGGTGTAAGTTTTGTTTTGTGTTTACCTCATAGTTAAAATTGTTGCATGTCCGCCGGTTCCTGCCTCAAAATGAGCGAGTTTGAGCCACTTGTACGGAAGTGTTCAGGAAAAGCAAAACGGCAGCGAAGAAACTCGACACAGAGGAACATTTACACCTCACTGTCAACTAGATTTCGGAAGTGTTAATGCAGACCAACAGAGAGAGTCGCTGGGATAATTAGGTAAAAATAAATGCAGATTTTAAGACTATGATAGTGTTTTTTGACCTTGCATGCATATTAGACTGTTGTTGGAGCCTAATATGGGCTCTTTAAAACAAGGTGTTTAATTATAGAACCAGTTTTTGCCTATTAGAATTATTATGAAGAGGTAAACTGGGACTAAATTAGTTTTTTAATACATAGGTGTTTACATCATGTCAACTTGTGATTCAGGATGACCCTAAATACAATTACCATGACTTTAAGCTCTAAAAATGTAAAAATCAAAAGTTTGCAAATGCAATGAACAAATAAGAAGTGGTCTTGTGTTGACCTCTAGTGGTTAAATATGGTAGGTGACAATTAAAAGTCTGTTATAATGGCTAAAACTATAGAATATTGAAAATAAGTGATTTTGAGACCTTTAAAACATCCAAGATGGACAAATAATTTAGCATGTAAATAATTTAAGTGATAAGCTTGGACTAAACTTGCAACAGTGTGTAAATGAAGCACATTTACTACATTTTTAAACCATTTTAGCATGTTTTAGGACAATTTCTACTATTATTGCACCACCTATCTCATCCCCGATCTCCACAAAATTTTGCATGTTTCTTCACATTGATATGCCACGTGGTCACTAATTTTTGTTATGTTTTGAGTTTTCCTTATTGGTTACAGGCATGTAATCATTGTAATTGAGCTAAAAACCAGGGACTAGTTCACAAAAGTAGGTTTTTTTACATATTGATGATTTTTGGGGGGGGGCGGGGTGGGATGGGGTAAAAGGTTACCGACGCATGCTGCTGCTCCACACAGCAATAGAGAAGGCTTGGCAGAGTGAAAAATACTGCATTACTATTTTTGTTAAATAATTTTTTTTTCATCATACTAAAATAACACGTGACAGAAGTTCACTCAAAAGTGAAAGTTCTTTCTGTCATTAATTACTAACACTCCCGTCATTTCTACTACTTTCAAAACATAAATTTTGATATTTTACCATATGAAAATGCAATGCAGTTATGAAAATTGTGAAATTAAAGCAATAGTGCAGAGATCTGGTCCCCGCGTCAGGTCAGGGTGCACCTGTAACCTTTAAAACGCAGACGCGGAGGCGCACTAAGCTCACACGCAAAATAACTGGGCATTCAATTCATGTTTTAGTTAAATAATTCTTTAAATACAGCTCTCTTGATCTCTAAAGAGGAAAAAAAAAAAACGCAAAAGAAATTTGTCGGTAAATTAATTTTAGCAGAGACGCAACTGCCTGTCCTTTTCACATTCGTTTTTCAGGTAGGGATTAGGTCTATAGAGTAACCTAATAAAAATGTTTTGTTGGACACTGTAGTCTACACAATAATCAATATTATAATTTATTATATACATTATTATTAAAACTAAACTATACATTTGATAAATCAAAACCCTTTTTAATGTTTGCTTTCATTTTGACACCGCTAACAGTTGTAATAAGAAACATCACATTATGCAGAAGCAGTCTCAAGTTAAAAATACCTTTTGATTTTAAAGATGATCAGCCTGCCTAGTCAAGTTTACAGTGTCATAAATGAAATAGGTAGCATGAGTAAAGGGGATTTGCCAAGCACACAACCTCTCGCTGCAGGTAGGCTGAATGATAATCTTTAAAAATACATAAGCAATACAACACTTTAAACATTTATGGTTTTTTTAAATAAAAAGAAAAGAAATCAGGAGAGTAAAATATAATTTAAACCACTGGTCTGGCGCTGATACTTTGTTTGTAAGGAGAAGAAGAAAAAAAAAAGCAGATGAAAACCTGGCTGGGGAGACGGCAATAACATGGATTATCTGTTCTTCAGAAAAGTTCACGACATTGTGAGGCGTTTATCATACAACGCAGTTCGTGTTTATAATCATTAATATTAACTAATATGAATTCTCTCTCTAGACTTTGTTTTAATGCTTGTTCTTGTTGGCGCAATATAGCCTCAGCTTATTGCACGTACGAATCTGATTCTAAAGAATGATTAAGCGCTTGCATTTTTTACTGTATCCTTTTTGCAAGTTATTTATCTATTTTTTTAAAGTGGTGAGAACATTATTTACTGGCAAACATGTTCCTCGATCTCTTATATCAACAAATAAAGTAGCCTACCTAAGCTAATTTACCTTTTATGTAAAAATTAAGGAATAACTTAATTAAATATTAATAAATAAAACATCAGTATAAGTGTACGTGTTTATTTTTGAACTTTCGTTAATAAAACAACACAAAACTGTTTATAAATATTGTAGTTAAATATTAAATAACTTTAACTGCTTGAAACCGTAAAATAATAACAATTAAACGTTACATTAAGAACTTAACAAATAGCCCAAATGGCACTTTACTAATCAGTGTAATAATAATATAAATATTAATAATTATAAGTACAAAAAATATATTAACCTTGTAACAATATAAGTCAGATGTTTTAAAAAAACAGCGTAGGTTCTCTCTACCTTTTGTATTCATATTTTAAATTATTTGCCAGAAAAACTAACATGTTAACTTTGTCCGGTTTAAGTAAAGAATGGGGTTTTAGTGTTTCCAGGAATACACTGTCAGACGGTGTGCTTGTAGTGAAAATGAACAGACAGGCTACTTTTTCACAACCATGCGAGAGAGGGTTGCTTTTGTTACACCGCCCGCATTTCTCGCAAAGCAGGTTTCTCTACACTGCGGAGCGACGTGTTCTTAAGTTAGGGTTAGGGTTAGCTAGTTACCAAATATGTTGCTCCATTTCTCATCAATGTCTTACATTTTTCATTTTCTCTTTTGTATCTGGCAATTTTTGCAAATGCCTCTGCCATGCCTGACTGAGCTGGGCTTTTGAGTTAAGAAGACAGGAGTTGATTAAAGCCTACATGGCTTTTTTTTCCCTCGCCGTCAATCGCCACTCTTCAGATTTGATCTTCAGTGTTTGGACTCTCAGCAATGAATATTAAAACACACTTTAACACTTAAAAAACCCCTACAAAAAGCTTAATCCAAATTAATTCGTTCACCTTTTTTGGTCGGCATGAATCCAAAATATTCCCAGATGTAAGATTTTGTTTGCTAACAAAATTCATGGTTGAACTTGAACTTGCTGAATCGCGCCTAATGTTATATCCTAACAGATATGTAATACTTGGCAACATAACAGTAATTTGTGTTTTAAAGTGTGTGATGTCACGTACTACCGTCGGTCACGGTGACTGTCACAGCCCTAGTCTTAAGTGTGTGTGTGTATGTATATATATATATATATATATATATATATATATATATATATATATATATATATATATATATAAATAAATAAATAAATAAATATCGCAATATATATCGCAGGGAAAAAAAAAATTCGCAATGTCAATTTTTTTCCAATATCGTGAAGCCCTATTATATTTAGTTTAAGTGTATCTGTGAAATATTGTGTAAATTAATCACATTTACTCTATTTTTAAGCTATTTAGCAGGATTTAAGACTATTTTTGCCATTGTAGCGCCACCTATAGCTTGATCTTTACAAAATTTTGCATCCTTCTTCACATTAATATGTCACATGTGCTCATCAATTTCTGTGATGTTTTGAGTTTTCCTTATGGCTTTACAGGCATGTAGGTTCGTGTGGAC